CATTGCAAAAACTCGATTCATTGAAGGAATGGGATTGGTGTTGAGAATTTGAGTTCTGACATGAACATAAGAGGCATGATCAAGACCCATAAGAAATTGATAAACATGATCTCGTTCCGTTTCGTCAGCTACGAATTTTGCGAATTCACAAGCGTCTCTTGTGGAACATGGACGGAGAGTTCGACTAGTTTCTAGCTCATCCCAAATGGCGCACAATTTTGTGTAATAATCGCCCATGGAGGAGCTGTTTTTGCGAAGAGCAGAGAGGTTGCTCTTGAGTTTATAGGTGCGAGAACCATTGGAAATGGAGAACCGTTCCTTCAACTCATCCCATAAACCCTTAGCAGTATCAAAACATTTGATGAAAGGTTGCAGTTGAGGGTCAATGGTGTTATGAATCCAGCTATTTAGCATTGAATTGCATGTATTCCATCCAAAAAAATTCATCAGAAAGCTCACCTTTGGAGCGACTACGTCACTAGTGAGAAAGCCAACTTTGTTTTTGGCTTTGAGAGCAGAGGTGATTAATTTGGCCCAATTATCATAGTTGGACTGACCATGGAGGGGAACTGTAGTAAGAAGAATTCTGGGATTATCGGAAGGATGTGTGTAAAAGGGAGAACGGGGATCAGTAATTTTGAAATTTTTGCTTGAAGCAGCCATGGTTCTAGCTAGCAAAGCAAGGAAGAAGAAAGGCTTAGATCTTTTGGCTCATGATACCATAACAAGAATATTTGAAATGTGTAACTTGATTGATTGAACAGCTAAAGGCTTGTTTAAATAAAGCCATGATACAAAGGAAAACCAAAACAACCTAACTAAAATCTTGTCAGAATATTTAAACTATCCTAAAAATAACACAAAAGATTTACACTTATTAAGAATATTAGCTAACAACTTATATCAGCTGACAAACAAAAGAATAACAAATTATTCTAACAAATTAATCTATACAATCTTATCCCAATAATATGAAAGATGCAAAATAATTAATTAAATCTCACCTAACATCTTAAGATTTACATACTATCAAAGCAGGGAGATACCACCAACCATGAGCCAAATGAGCAGCAACATTAAGTGGCCTCGGAACACCATAATCAATCCCAAAACCTTAAGGCATTAGGTGCATGGGTCTTTTCACTTATATGATGCTTACTTAGTCCATTCTTAACCAATGTGGGATTTTTTTCACTCAATCGTTCACACTTGGATTCCTCAACATCTCTCCATCAAGTATGAGTCCAAGGCCCACATTCTTTCCCCCTCAAGGAGACGTTTCTTCGAGTATTCATGGGGTTCATCAATGCTTGGCTTCTCATCAAACTTTGGCTCTTTCGTCAAGGCTTGCATGGCTGCACTCATCAAGCCTTGGCTTCCCATAGCAAGACATACTCGGATCACCACAGGACAATCCACTATTAGCTCTGATATCAATTGTTGGGCCGTGCACGAGAAGCTCATGGCTGGGAGAGACCGCCAACCATGGGCCAAGTGAGCAGAAAATATTAAGTGGGCTCGGAACACCATAATCAAACCCAAAATCTTAAGGCATTAGGTGCATGGATCCTTCCACTTATATGGTGTTTACTTAGTCCATTATTAACCAATGTGAGACTTTTTTCACTCAATCATTCACACTTGAATTCCTCAACACTTGAATTCCTCAACACTTGAATTCCTCAACACTTTTATGAGAAATTAAGAAAAGTATAAAATAAACCAAAAAATGAATATGTGCAGCACAAAGTAGATTAAAAAATGGGCATGTGTTATATTCACGCTTCAAGTCCAGAGAATTTTTGTGCAAGAGAATATATTAAACAAATACAAAAGATATAAAAATGTATTATATTCACGCTTCAAGTCCAAAAAAAAATTGCGTAAGAAAATATATTAAACAAATACAAAAAATATAAAATAATTAATTAAGTCCCACCATCTAACGTCTTTTAACTTTTTAATTCTTGTCATTTCTTCACTCAAATGACTTTGCAGGTATGAAGTTATCAAATTTATTATTTTTTTTATTGAATTTCTAAATTAACTAGTTACGCGTGCATTGCGCAAAAGTAATCAAAAAGATCAATTCCAGCAGCAATTCCTTGATGAACTAAAAAATTAAGAAAAAACATAAAATAAATTAAAAAATAAACATGTGCAGCACAAAATAGACAAAAATAATAAGCATGTGTCACATTTACACTTCAAGCCAAAAAACTTTTGCACAAGAGAATATATAAACAAATACAAAAGATATAAAATAATTAATTAAATTTCACCTAACAAATTAAGGTGTTTTATTCTTGTCACTTCAAAGACTCAAATCACTCTGCAGGTATGAAGTTATCAAATTTATGACTTTCTTTTTATTGAATTTCTAAATGGGTTATAGAAGTATTATGTCACATGACCCTAGCTAATTTTCCTACATAAACAAAAATGAAGAGAGAGAAAATGATAGAAAAAAAGAGAAAAGAAAAATGGTGGACCCCACTTTTGCATTGTTTGTGTAGGAAAATAGTTTTGGGTTCCTGTTACATGATATTTATATTACCCTTTCTAAATTAACTAGTTAGGCGTGCATTGCGCAAACCTTTTAAATTGAATATGTATAATGATAGGTTTTTTTATTTAATAAGCAAATATGTAGATACTTTAATAGAAAGTTTAAGAAATTTTTATAATCTTTATCAAGAAAAAAAAAGGAATTTTTATACTCAAAATGTTGGCTTTTTAACCCCAGTAGTGTCATTTTTATAAGGTTTGACTGGAATAATTTTGTGATCAAACTTATTACCTATATAATGCATAACGTCGCGGTACTGAGAAGACCGCTTTAAGACGTGATACTTAAAGAGCCACGTCCTTTGTATCAGTTACTGACCAATCATGTGGGGTAATAATTACACTGAAACACGACATGCTCTCAGCCGCGTCCTTGCAAAAATTTTTGCACAGGACGCGGTACAATAACAACCACGTCCTATCTGACATAATGGTTTTGTAAAATTATGATCTGACACAATTTTAAACCATTTGCACCGAAAATTGGACCAGAGGCTAATGCCTGAACCTCACCGGGTACCATCTGAAGCTATGTTGATATCAAATTTAATTTGCACCCCATCAAATCTTGGATTTACAATTAATTTTTAAATTAGATATTTGTGAAAACATTAAAATCAACAAATAGAATAATAAAAATTAGCCTTTACAAAAGGTTATTTATTGAAGAAAATATGTATAAACATGTAATTGTACAGCTTTTATGTTATAAATAAAAGGATAGAATGTTTAAATATAGAAAATAAAACCCTTAAAATAAAGTCCCAACGAAAAAGCAAGATTTGTACCTATGATATGTTTACCCAAATAAAAAAATAAAAAATACAACTATTGAATTTTCTCTTTCCTTAAAAAGATTTACTATCATATTAAAATGGTGTTTTAAAACTCCACCCCGCCCCCCGGGTTAACCCGGGTCAACCCTGACCCTTCTCCTGTGAGGGTTGGGGTCACAAGTTGCACCTTATATGTATATCGACCCCTCCAACCCTCAAAACACGGCCGAGTTTCAGTGACTTCCGGGTTAGAGGGGTCAAAGGGGGTCACTGCATGTTTTTTTTTTAAAAAATTCCATGAAACAACATCGTTTTATTTTAAAAAATAAAAATGCTTGCAAACCTAAATCTAATCGTTCTCTTCTTTCCCAGCGACCTAGACGTCTTCAATCCTCACCTCGTGTCGTGAATCTTCTAGAAAGGGTAAGAATTTTACCCATTCAAATGAAATCCTTACGGTCATCGATGGAAAACAAAAACTCATTCTTACTTCCTTTAAATTTTCCTTTGCCAGAGACCTTCTCAAAAGAGGCAGAATCGGGTCAGCATAATGACCCCATTAGAATATGAGTTGTGTACTTTGGTATCTTGATACTTTAATTAGGTTGTGTAATATTGACTTGTGGTTGTAATTGGTGAATTATGTTAAGTATATTTTGAATCTTTGATGATGGGTGGTTTGTTTTTTAATATTTTTATATATGATATATATATATATATATTTATATTTATATTTTTTAATACATAAAACTGAGTCAGCGTAGTGATTCCGTGATCCCTCGGTTGAACCCGTGATTCCGTGACCCCCGATCTCGACCGGGTCGATGGCTGGGCCGAGTTTTTAAACACTTTAAAACATTCTATATTTTCTATTATCCATAAAAGATTATTGTATCTATAATACAGATTTTTATTTTATTTTAAGGGTTTTATTTTCTATATTTAAACAATCTATCCTTTTATTTATAACATAAAAGCTGTATAATTACACGTTTATACATACTTTCTTCAATAAATAACCTTTTGTAAAGGCTAATTTTTATTATTCTATTTGTTGATTTGAATGTTTTCACAAATATATAATTTAAAAATTATGTCAGACCATAATTTTACAGGTAGGACGTGGTTGTTATTCTACCGCGTCCTGTGCAAACTTTTTTGCAAAGGACGCGGCTGAGAGCATGTCGTGTTTCAATGTGATTATTATCCCTCATGATTGGTCAGTAACTGATACTAAGAACGCGGCTCTTTAAGTGTCACGTCTTGAAGCGATCTTCACAGTACCGCGTCGTTATGCATTATATAAGTAATAAGTTTAACCAAGAAATTATTCGGGTCAAAGCTTATAAAAATGACCCTACTGGGGTAAAAAAAACCCAAAATGTTAAAAAAAATCCTTGGTTGAAAAAAATCAATCCTAATAAGAAAAGATAAAGGAAAGGAAAGGAGATATTGAGGTAATGACACAAGTCAGCAATGCACACAAAGGTAGTAATTAATTATAATTAATTAGTAATGATAAATAAAATAAAACAAAAGCGGCCACATGAGGGAATAAAAAAAGTGTCCAGGTTCATCCTCCCGAACCAGTCCTTGTCAAATGGAGTCTTGTATAAATACTCAAACTCATCTCATTCTGAGCAACCCACTCATGTTGTCCCTTTAGGATCTCTTTCTATTCAATTTCATATTTTTTTGCATACTGGAATTACCCTTTTGTCCCTGCACCTCCACTAACTCCTCCTTTATAGTTTATATAGCAACATTACCGAGAGGGTCCCAAAAGCCATAAAAACACCAAGAAGCCTTCAATGGCGTCAATGGCTTCTCTTTTCACCAAAATCTCATTCCCTTCTCATTCTCTGTCCAAAACCTTCGATACCCATTTTTCCCCATCCTTCAAAGTCAACATATCTCTTGGCGCCAAGGCGAGGACCCACCTGGGTCTTCGAGTTTCGAGCGGTTTGATCGAACCGGATGGTGGGAAGCTTGTGGAGCTTGTGGTGGAGGATTCGCGGAGAGATTTGAAGAAGGGTGAAGCTTTTTCGCTTCCAAGGATCAAACTCTCTCGGATTGACGTGGAGTGGGTTCATGTGCTCAGCGAAGGCTGGGCTACCCCACTCCGTGGGTTCATGAGAGAAACTGAGTTCCTCCAAACGCTTCATTTCAACTCGCTCCGACTCGATGATGGGTCGGTGGTGAACATGTCCGTTCCAATCGTTCTGGCCATTGATGATGACCAGAAGCATCGGATCGGGGATTCCAAAAAGGTTGCTCTTTTCGATTCTCAGGGAAACCCTGTCGCTATTCTGAACGAGTAAGGATTTGCTTTGAAGTTCAATTAGCATGGTTTTATGTCTTTGTGCTTTGTGATTTTCTTCTTACTATTTCATTGCACCTCTGATTGAAAAGGAGGTTTTACTATTTTCTCTGAACTTGTGTTTTTGTTCATTAGAAAGGTATGCTTTTATGATCTTTCACATATGCTGGTGTGATTGGTTTCTTTAGTTATGTGTGAATTTTATACAGTCAATTATTGAGAGCTGAAATTTTTTTTTTTATGGGAAATTTTGTTGTATACTGGGAAAGGGGGAGGAGGAGGGTTGGAGGGTAGAGATGCGGAGATTTTGATCGAATATACTGGGTAATAGGTAATTTTTATACGTATTTTGGTGTGCTTGTTCAAGTCTTTTTCATATTTTATTGTAGTGCCTATAGTTGGTTGGACAGTCAACCACTCAAATAATGTTGTAATGGAAATTGAGATAGTTTCCACTACTGTCGTTGTTTTCTCCCTTTTTTTTTTTTTACTATTCATATTAATCCAATCTTATTGAGGCATACTAGGTTCTGTTTTCTTTTTTCCTTTCTATGGTCCTAGAATACACGACAACGATTGTATTTTGAAATTCTCGTTGCAAATATATCACCAGATTAACAACTTTGATCATGCTTCTTAGGCTGAAATATATGTTGGTATAGCTGCTTGGAAAATGAAGTTTCCATATCCATATTGACGTGTATAAACACACTCATGACCAGACATGCTAATAATTCAGATAGTGTAAACATTGATATGAAAAGTTGACTTTAGGTAATGTGGTTTGACGAGGATCTTAATCTATATTGTTTTGGTGTTTTCTATTTCAGTTTCTACTTGATTTTGTTGAACGCCTTTATATGTGCGCGTTATATGTATAATTGTTTATATAGTTGATTTTATTGAGCACCTTTATATGTGTGCATGTTAGCTATGTGATGGGATGTATGTGTGATTCCTGATTTATGTTGTAGTCATTCTTTTTTCATTGTTTTCTTCCCTTTTTTTGCTATGGCTTATAATTTTATTTTGGTTATTTCAGTATTGAAATTTATAAGCACCCTAAAGAAGAAAGGATAGCCCGAACTTGGGGAACCACTGCTTCTGGTCTACCTTATGTTGAAGAAACTATAACTAATGCTGGAAATTGGCTGATTGGGGGTGATCTGGAAGTTATAGAACCCGTCAAGTATCATGATGGGCTTGATCATTTTCGGCTGTCCCCCTCAGAACTCCGTGAGGAGTTCACAAGGCGCAATGCAGATGCTGTGTTTGCATTCCAGCTCCGGAATCCTGTCCACAATGGCCATGCTTTGCTAATGACTGATACCCGTAAGCGGCTTCTTGATATGGGTTATAAGAATCCTGTCCTACTGCTTCATCCACTGGGAGGTTATACCAAAGCTGATGATGTCCCACTTGCTTGGCGAATGAAACAACATGAGAAGGTATGTGTACTAGGCTTAGGCAGATGTGACAACTGAATCTCATTGTTGAAGCTATGTCATTTCTTTCTTCTCTTTTCTTTTCCTGTTTGATTGGTTTCCTACTTTTCTCGCACTTCTCCATGTCTCATCAGCATGTGATGTAATATTGATTCCAAAGATGTCTGTATCCCTTCTAACTTCTGTATAGTCGTATTGCCTCCCAACTGTAGTTAACTAAGTAAAAGTAATTTGTTGGCCTACTAAGAAAATCAGTTATACCTGCCTAAATGGCTCAAATTGATTTTATGAACTGAAAAATTCACTTAAACCCTTTGGTCTTTCTTTAGGTACTAGAGGATGGTGTTCTTGATCCAGAGACAACTGTGGTATCCATATTCCCTTCTCCCATGCACTATGCTGGACCGACTGAGGTGCAGTGGCATGCAAAGGCTAGGATTAATGCCGGGGCTAACTTCTACATCGTTGGTCGTGACCCTGCAGGCATGAGCCATCCAGTTGAGAAAAGAGATCTATATGATGCTGACCATGGGAAGAAAGTATTGAGCATGGCACCTGGACTAGAGCGTCTAAACATTCTTCCTTTCAGGGTAATTGAAGAATTTGCCTTCTCACTAATACATTTAGTTTCACTTAGGCCCTCTTAGATATATGTGGTGATTAGTTCCATTCATTTGCAGGTTGCTGCGTATGACAAGACTCAGGGTAAAATGGCATTCTTTGACCCTTCAAGGCCTCAGGACTTCCTCTTCATATCAGGCACAAAGGTATAGTCAGATTGAATTCATTAGGATTGTGACTATATTCTTACATATTTATTTGTAGTATCTTAACAAAGGTTTCTTGCATTTACAGATGCGTACACTTGCAAGGAACAAGGAAAGTCCTCCTGATGGATTTATGTGCCCAGGTGGGTGGAAGGTGCTGGTTGACTATTATGATAGCTTGGTACCCTCAAGCAACGGTAAAGTGCCGGAAGCTGTTGCGGCTTAGTGTTATATTTTAATGTATATTTGATTGGGAGAAACCTTAAGCTGATGTATTCTCCTGCTAAGACCCAGATTGCACAAAGATCCAATCACTGATAATAATGAAAACTTAGGGAGGTACTGGCACTGAAACACTTGGCCTCTCTCTGTAAGTATGGCATTTGGTGTTGCCTCTTGCACTCACAGTGCAATTGTGCATCCCACCTCTTTGTAATATATTGTGGTTGTGCTAAAGATTTGGTTTGAGAGCTTACATTCACTGCTCTTTATATGATTATTGCTCCTTGCATGAAGTCCTATTAATTCAATCTAGAACATACTTTAGCGATACGATTGAAAACATTACTGATAAGATTCTCTTAACCGTTGGTCTATGCCATTATCATCAAGTGAAGTAGGGTTCTTGGTACTCGGTTCGATTGCAGATTCTGCAATGCTAGGGTGGCTGCTATTTTCCTATTAAGGCCTAAAAGAGAAATATCGCTTGATCATCATTTATAATTACATTATCCCAAATTATCCATTTCAGATATTATATGATTTTGAGTTATCTAAATCTCGCGTCATGGCATAGTGTTCTTGAGAACAAAATGTGTGTGCAGGAGTCAATTAGTTTCTCCTATTGAGTTTCTCTTGCAATAGGAGAAACTAATTGCCCTTTATATATACAATGTTCTCGATTATTAGTCTGTCTCATCACCATCGACACCGGGCACTACGACGTACTTTATATGAAGCTAATCAAGCCCACAATACTAAACAAATTTAGAATTGCTTCCAAGGAAAAATTCCTGAAAACCTCTGACAAATGAAATGCAAGGGTGTACATAAGAAGGCAGTGGAAACATTCATTCAATAATTACGGCTCAAAACATGGGGTATAGTAAAAAGCTAATATGAGGGATTAAGAAAAAGGTTATAAAAATGAATTTTTTATGTGTTATTTAACATCATCTCCATTCTGTCAAGGCATAGATAGATAGATAATTTGCAATGTTCATTAGACCAACCCGCTTCTGGAGGTTTCCAGATGTTAGTGACGCAGGGGATGCTTTGAGGGGATTCAATTATAGATGGCCTTGGCATGGCTTGTTGAATGTCAATGACATAGGCTTTTATTACCTCATGGGGAGCTGTGGGTCTTGTAAAAGGACTCTTCATGGATTGCTTTGTTTCTCCAGTCCCATAAAAACCAGCAACTTGTTATAAATATGTCTCGCCATTCTGCAAATTCTTTGGTCATCCACTTGCTTTCTATGTTCTTCGTAAACCAAGTGTCGGCATCAATTGCATAAAAGTCTCTGTGTCTGCGTGTCTCAACCCACTGCTCCCAAATATTTCGGGCTTGTTTACAGTCCCGTAGTACATGGATGCAAGTTTCTTTCTGAAATGGGCAACTTTGACAGCCCAAGGTTCCACTTGCTGGTGGGAGTTGGCTTTTTTATCTGACAAATGCGTTATTTTAAATATTCCATTGGTTTAATTCTTTGGTCAAATTTATTATCATACTAATGCAGGTTTAAATGCGTATTTGGGACCAAATGTGCACTTAGTACTGACATGACTGGACAAACATGCCTATGGTACTGACGCCATCATATGCAAACTGTACATTTTCAGATTGTCTTGACGTGACTAAACACGTTAGTCACAAGTTACGTATCTTGTTGCATCATTATGGTAATATATTTGATCATAAAATTAAGGGTTTTATATCTCTCATTTTGCTTAAGAAATTTTTTTTCTCTCACTCTCACTTCAATTTCTTTGTTTTGTTTTTTCTTTTTTAAGTAAAGTGGGTCTAGCAATTTGTTCTATATATAAGAAACAAGTTTTCCCTCCTATAAAATGAAAGAAATAAAACCCATGAATTAAATTGGCAGAATAGTTCCTAAAATGCATTGGTACGGTCAAAGCGCCGTCGGGAGTTTGTTCAACATTGCCTTCCACAGACATGTCTTGAATCTCTTAGATCCCTTCCAGCTCTACAGACATTTCCACCTCTGCAGTGGTCGCTCATTTGCAAATCCCATAATTTTGTAGTACGCAACTTTCACCAGAGACTTTGAAATATGATTATTAATCCAAACCATTCTATCCTCTCCTTTGACAGGTTGTGGAGTTGGTCTGGCTAAGATACGAGATGTGATTTCCTCATCTAGGTAAGTAAGAAATGACTTGTGTACAGAGGCGTAGCCACGTCCAAGTCAAGCAGGTGCCTATTATTATAATTAATTAAGGTAAAAATTATAATTTGACATCACCTAAATAGAAAATTAAATACTCAATACAAAGTAACAACAAATCATCTAAATGCAAACAAATAATAAAGAACACGTATAGTATGGTTATTTGTGTGTTTTACCTTTTTTTATTTTTTATCCTGTATATTTTTTTCTGCTTTATTCTAATAAGTTATGTTATTTATTCTTACTCATATTATTCAAAAAAAGAAAAACTTTTAAACTTAATCACAAAAATGATTAATTGACCTATTTCAAAATATGGGCCCAATTAAACCAAATAAACACATTTAAAAGTAGAAAAAAAAGGTTTGTTCTCTTAAAGGACACAAGGTTGTATCCTTTTAGTTTTCGACACTATATCTTACCTGTAAAACAAATTATAATATGAAAAAAAAAATATTATATTTCCTCAGTCACTTCAGCTGACGTGGAGAAAGAAAAAAAAACTATTTTTTATGTTATAACTATGTCTTACCGGTCAGACATAGTGTTAAAAATTAAAAGGACACAATTTGTGTCCTTTAAAAGAACAAACACTTAACCCTTGAAAGTAACAATCATGAAATCAAACGAATAACAAGACTATAATTATGAAATATGAAGGTCCATTGAATTATTGTGTTTTGGGTTACTGCACACAAAGAATAGTCAAAAACCTAATTCCCAAATGTGAGAACTTTCTTTCGTGTATATAATTATATAAGTAATTGTAATTGGACCCTAGCTAAAATTGTAAGTTGACCATAGCTAAAATTGTAACAGTGGTAACAAATGAAGATATGGAGCTGCTTCCTGACTAGATAACATATTTCTTTCTTCTTAATTTCTTCTTCTTCTTTCATCTTTTTCCAATTGAGGTTTTATTCTAATCTTTTTTTCTTATTCGCACTCACCACCCGGAACCCAGCCATTCTGCGACAAGGCACAATGTTTCGTTCCTTTCTTCAAAATTTTACGAATACCTATTCTAGGAATATGCATTGGTAATTATATTGTACGTTGGCGAAAAAATTGATTTATATTTTTGAACCTTATAAAAGTGAAATTCTTTGTCTTTGCTGACCATAAATGTTTATTGGGTGTTTCTAACATGAGTGAAATTCACGCCCCCTTTATTTTATTAACAACTTTTTTTGTGTGGTTGTAGTTATTGATTTTATTTCTTTTGAAAAAATGGAGTGTTGTTTTACGTTTACCTTTTTAAAAAAAATTATTTTAATGTAAAGCTAAAATTGCTATTGGTAATGGAATTGAATTGTTTATTGTTGTTATTTGTATTTTATTTTAGAGTAAACACCCTTTTTAGTCCCTGTCAATATTTACGAAGTCCTTTTTAGTCTCTGGCAATAAAAAAGGACCAAATTGGTCCCTGAAATTACAAAAAAAGGGTCATGTTAGTCCTTATGTCAACTCTCAAATATGTAGAGTGGCCCTTTTCTTGTACTTTCAGGGACCAATTTGGTCCTTTTTTATTGCCAGGGACTGAAAAGGACTTCGTAGATATTGTCAGGGACTAAAAAGGGTGTTTACTCTTTATTTTACAACAAGAATGTGAAATTTGGTTATTAATTAGTGGAAACTGTTAAAGAGAAAAAAATCAATGAAGATATATGTATGTATATGGAGTATGAAAATTTCTTATACATATCCATTAACAACTTCTTCTTTTTTTGTATTTTTAAAATATCTAAACACTAATTAAATGGTTTATGTGGATCCAATGTCATTTAAATGATTTTAGACATTTGTCGCTGATTATTCCATGTTTCTTTTTAATTGTGAAATTTGTTGTCCCTCTATGTTAATGTTCTTCACAGATCACAGTTAGGGGTATAAATGGGCCAAGTTAAGCCAAACATTGGCTTTGATAGCCTAAGCCTATGTAAAATATTTGGAACCTATACTGACTTATCAGCCTGTTAAATACTTGATTTATGGCCTGCCATATTATAAAAAACTAAAAAAAAACCAAATACGACTTGTAAGGCCAAGTTGCAAACTAAAGTTTGTAGGCCCAAATCAAATTAAAAAAAAAAAAAAAAAAATTTATTTACAAAGACCACATGAAATCAATTTTCATTAACACCATATGGGATAAGCTTTCATTAACATCACATGAAATAATGTTACCAAAGATCACATGAAAATGTGCATAAAAATCACATGAAAATTTCATATATGTATATAATATTTGCACTTTCTTTACTAATTTTATTTTATATTATATTCTAAATTTTAAATAAATAACTATTATTTGTTAAAATAACATCGATCCTATTACTTTGAAAATTTTAAGTAAATTTTTTTCCTAATAGATTTGTGTAATTATGAATTTTTTTTTATAATTTGATATGTCAACTTTTTTGGCCCCGGCTAAAATTAAATACCGACTCCGTCACTGCTTGTGTACTGTGTCATCGTTTATATATATAAAAATTGGCGAAAATGTTTGTCCCCCTTAAAGGATGGTCATTTTAGTTAAAACTAGTATTTTTATTTAAAAATTAAATTAAAAAAAACACCAATTTTCTCCCCCATAATTTTCATTATGTATCTTTTTCTCTCACTTAAAAAAAACATTAATTATATGTCCTTTAAAAGGACAAACAACAAACTCATAAAAATTACTTAAGCCGATCAACTCCTCTCATGAGTTTTTTTCTTGTTTCTCGCAACTTTAGTCAGCTATAAATGGACAAGACACACCGTATACCCCAACTTATATTAGATGTCTTCAGTTTCGAAGAGGTTGTAAAGATTACCACCATACCATGGTAACTCCATTTTCAGTTTGTACGAAAATAACGATTACTGCATCCGTTTAAAATAACCAATAGATAAAGCCACTAGGGTGAGTGATATGAATAGTTGTGTTAAGTGATGTGTGTTCTAGTCCTTCCTCATATATCCAAATAAATAAAAATAAAATAACCAATAGGTAGACATCATAAATATATGAAATCAACAAGAGGATTAGCAAAAACTCCTTTCTCTCTGATTATCCGGAACTTTCTCCTAAGGCCCTGTTTGGTTCAAGAGATCCTACAATTTAGCTAGGCAAATGAACTCGGTAATCCTCAAAGACTTCGTTTGGTAGACAGATTTCGCAAGGATGCCCGTCTATCCCATTTGCATGGGATTTCTCCATTTGGTCCAGAAAGCAGGGCATTCGCTCTGTTGAGGAAGCAATCTTGGATGTGGGTTTTGGTCGATAACCATCTAAATTGAAAAGTGAAAAATTCAAGCTACCGAAATTACCCTCGTGATATCCTCTTCTATTCTTTTTGCTGCAACTGCATCTTAATTTGATTGCTCTCATAAAAATGTAACTAGCACAACCATTTCATTGCATCTTAATTTGCTCGCTCTCATAAACTCAAGAGGGAGAACAATCAAGAAAAGAAGAAAAGAAAAAGAGAACTTGATCGTACCCTCGCTACCACCATTCTGTTTCACGCACAAGAGAGATCGACTTCTTCCAAAACGACACGGACGAGAAGGAGATTGTGTCGTTGGTGCGCGCTGCCAAGGCGAGGAGAGGGCGGCGGCCGCCGATAAAAAGTTGAAGGAAGCGGAGATGGCGGCGACTGCGGCAAAGAAAGAGAAGGAATTGGAAGCAAAGGAGCAGAGGAGAAGAAGGACGAGGAGTCTGGTTTAAATGGCTCAATAGCTAAGAGAATTAAAAAAAATAAAAAATTTACTTCAATTTTGGATTGATACTGTGATTGATACTATAAGAATAATTAATTACCATTCTGTTTCACGGGTTTTAGCTTTTTTATTTGTGTCCGCATTATAATTTACAATTAGTTACATTGGAGATAGGATCGAAGCTGAGAGAAGGGCAAACGCTTGAAAATGCTGTGAAGATTGATGCAGAGGGCAAGGAGAGGGTGAGAAGGAGGGAACAAAAGTGAGTGTTTGAGAATGAGAGAGAAGCAGATGTTATTTTCGTAATTGTCACTTATTTCCTATCTATATTTTACCTCAAACCAAACATAAACTTTATAAATCTTACTTAATTTACTCGGTAAAATTTTTTCCAACCAAACAACTTTTTTTATATTTTCCTACCAAACTCATTTTCCTATCAATTACATTTCCCTAGTATTCCAAAAATTTCTTCTCAACCAAACGCCCCCTAAGGGTTGGCTATGAACTGGTTATTCAAAATCTTCAACTAGAGGAGGAGTCATTCAGAAACTGGAGGAAGATGCAAAAAAAGTAGTTCCAAGAACCACATTACAAAGGTCCATACAAGTAGAATTAAGTTGGATCACCTTTACGGGATACTGTGAGCCAAAACTTTTCGATTTGTATACAGCCATCGTCTTTCTCTTCCTTTTATCACTTCTAACTTCAAACAAAAGCAGTTTCGGGCAGAGAAAACCGTCAAAAAATGAGTTGTCAATTGTAAAATCATTTTATAGTACATTTCTACAAACAATACGAAATTTGACTAACTGCATATGGACTTCCAATCAGAACTTTGTGTTAGCCCAACTGAAAATTAATCAACAAAAAGAACAATAACAGTAATAAAAATAACTCCATTTTTTATAATCACCACTTCAATTTCCCAACTGAGAAGGAAGAAATAAATTGATCACCGCATTCAACTACATCGCATCATTTTTTATAATCAATTTACATGTCATAAAACCCTCACTTTCTCTTCCTTCTATCAACTGTAGGATTCCTCATGTCATTTTTTGCAAGGGCAGAGCCAGAGCCAGGGGGTATACCATATGTCATTGGAGAAGGAGCTTGAGTAGATGATGCTGTCACAGCAACATTTGTGGCAGGTACTGGTGGCAGTGCAGGCACTGGTGGCTGAGCTGGAGTTGAAGCAGTAGCAGGTGGTACAGGAGTGGCACTTGGTTCAGGAAGTGATCTTGGTAAAATGTGTTTTAACCGATTGTTCCTATAGTTCTTCCAGAAGTAGAATTGTTGTCTATGTGCCAGTTCCTGAAATACATATTTGGACAATCCATGAGACACAAGTAAGGCAAAGCAATTTCAAAGTTATTTAATTCTAAGACATGGAATACAAGTCATTTGGCTTGATTCATGAAAAGTTCATAATTGACCAAAATAGTGACATAAGATAGGTACAACAGGGTGAGAATTAAACCCAAAACTATCACCTTCACAAATATAACAAAAGACTGTACTATAAAGAGATTGTTCAAATTAAGTACAACGACTCGAAGGATCAAAGTCCACCTTTGTCTCAACTCATACAATTACAAGAAAAATTTGCTACCAAAGGGAATCTATTCAAAAAGGAACAGAGAATGGTGTAAATTCTGACGAGCAATCTCACATGAAATCCAGGAGAAAGTGTGATTTTAATTTATAGCAGGGCAAAAAAATACAGCTATTTACCTTGTTGCTAGGGTGTGCCATTGCATTACGAAAATTTGCATTCTGAAGAAGCTCAAGAAAATAGAGGCAATGAGGATACCTAGCGTAGCATTCATAGAAAATGAGTTAACTACGTCAGCAAAGCAACCCAGATAGATTTCAACAAACGTCACTAAAATAAGGGGGCAGGCACAAAACAAATACAAAGATGCCAAAACCGGTTCAAATTCTTCATCACATGGATTGTTGAATTTCATGTATCCCTAGACTAAAATTTGTAATCCTTTTTTCCCAAATTGACACTAGTCAGTGCCCCATAGTAGAATTGTATTATAGAATCCCTCTCCCTGGTTTTAGTGGGACAATTTGAAGATGATGCTTACATGATAAATTTAATATATTCAGGGCGTTGCCAATATTGAAGATACTTCAAGTACCCAATGAATGCTTCATCCTCAAAATATCGATTCTGAGCCAAATCTGTTCAAAAGAGTAACAAAGAGGAAGAGTATTACAAATACACACACTACATGACAAAGCATACCACATTTTTATATACATAAAAAGGAAATTTCATTAAGAGGAAGAGTATTACAAAGAGTTTGGAAGATAAAGAATCGTCCTCAAGCAAAGCAAAACACAAAACAACAAAGATAAAAGAAAAAAAGAAAACACCGATGAAGCAAGTTGACGAATCCCTCAACATATCTGCTAAGGAAATCCCTTTTACGCTAACTAGAAGCAAAATGCCTAATCTTGCCCTAAATTAGCTGCTATGTCAAAGAATACCAATTAATTACAACAGCCTTTTTTTCACAACTAATTTCTAGTTTCCAACTAAACAAAATTCTTAACCTTTCAAATACATAATAATGAAGCAGTAAACAGATGCATCTATTAGTCAACGAAGCTCAAACTCTAAAAGTGAAAATCATACAGTGGATGTAGGTAGGATTAGCAAGGCATTGAACGAATTCCAATTCAAGCAAAAATCGTTGGCGCCCATCATCTGGATCCTTGTATACATTCTTTGGCCTGAAGAAAATGAAACAACCATTATCCCTTATGCACAGCTCAACACCCCACTGAACCCAAAATCACAAAGCCTCTTGGTGGGGCTACGATAATGTGATATGAACGAGGCACAGAGATTAAAAACAAAAATGGAAACTTTTGCTTACGATGATGGAGAAGTATCGGTTGAATTCTCGGTTTCGCTTTTAGAGGCCATGGAATAGAACCCTCAACTACAAGAACAACTAAAAAAAAATCACAAAGGGAATGCACAAATATTCAGATTAGAGCACAAAACCTTGGAATTAGATGTAAGAACGATACTGCTCTCCATTTTGGACAATTAATGGGTTCGTTTTAGTTCATAATATTTGGGCTGCACAAAAGCCCAATTCAAATGGTGAGTGGTAAGGGTTTGATGGTTGGGTCATGGAATGCTTGCATAATGCCAAGTTGCCAACATATCTATCTCAAAAGAAGGAAAATTTTCTTTCATTTTGATTTATCTTTTTTAAGTTATTTTTATTTAAAGAAAAAATATTTGTCCTTTTGAATGATACAACTTGTAATATTTTATTTTCACAAAAAAGTGAGACTCACACCTTTATTTTTTTTTGTCCACTCTCTCCCCATGATTTATCTATTTCTCTCATTTAAAATGACACAACTTTACATCCTTTAAAATGACACACATTTTTTTCTTTATTTAAATCTCTCTTTTTTGACTCCTTCTGAACATATGTATGGTGCTACCGCTTCTAAGAAGTTAGTGGTGTGGGTGTGTGTGTTAGGAGTGTGTGTAGTGTAGGGTGTTGTGTTCAATTCCTTGTAACCTCCAAAAAAAAAAAAAAAAAAAAAAGTGCTCATCAATCCAATACTCAATGGAATTACACCATTCTAATCTTTTTAAGGTCACTGCCACCAGACCAATACTATTTTGGAAAAACAAAAGTGTTTACTCGTTTAACAAATAAGTTAAATCAAGGTTTTTATAATGCCAATTTAATTGAACAAGTCAGTCTTCATGCCTTTCAAAAATATTTTTAGACCTATTGGGCTGGTACATATAATAATAATAATAATAATAATAATAATTTAATATTCATACCATATATTTATTTGGCTTATTTAAAAAAAGGCCTAGTTTGTTGACTGATTAATCTATTGATCTATTTAAAAGTGTGCCTATTAACTTATTTAATGGTTTTGATGCGAAATAATATGTATCTCAAAACATATTATCCCTGTACAAAATTATTATTATATTATTCAAATCTTATAATTTATCATTAATTTTGAAAACATCCAAAGCATATGTACATGTGAGAAAAACAATACCACATTTAAGGGAGTAAAAGTAAAAATATGGAGGACAATGAATAATATAGGAGTTGGCTGTCACACCGATAAGTATTATAAAAAAGGTCTCATGTTTCTATGGATTCCAAAGTTTGCATATCAATATTCCAAGTCTACATAGTGGGGATGGAGGGCAGGTATGCCTAATCTCTAGGAGAACACAATGGTACAGTTAACAAAAGTTGGTACTAAACCACTACTATTCACTGAGACAACTATAATAAGATGGACTAATGCAAACGCACCATAGCAATGAAAAATGGATGAAATAGGGAGGAAGAAGCATGTTAGGGAACCACCTTCAGTTCCTTTTCTTTGGGAAGTGAAGCCAGGCATTCCTAAGAAAGATTGGAAGCCAGAGGTCTCTTCTTTTGTCCATTTGCCTAAAACACCACTCAAACTAATTGCCTCAGTTCCCTTTGTTTGGGAAGAAAAGCCTGGAACACCTCTTCCTAACTTCTCACATGTTTTGGTGGATTCTGTGTCTCCAAAACCAGAGGCAATGCTTATTCATGTAGCATCAGCTTCAGGATATTCTGTTGCCTGCAACTATGGTTATGATGGCAGATACAAAGAAAGAAGCTGTGATATTGAAAGTATAACTAGCTTGGAGCTTGAAGCATTTAACTTTGATACAGATGAATCATTCAGCTCAGTTCCATCTTTGCTTGGAAATTGTCTTGTTTCATCAGCAAAAAATTCTACTGCCATTCCACCGCAGAAAAATTCGTTGTCTAAACATAACTGTGACCAGCTGGAAAACCCATCCTCCCCAGCATCTTCAGAGACAGAAAGTAGCATAAGCAGCTATGCAACAGGCATGTCAAGCCCAACTGGTGCTACTTTCCTGGAATGCCTCTTTCCTTTGTATCCTCCTACTAAGTCTGGCTTCCTTGAAAGGGATGAACACTCAGAAAAGGTATCTTCAAATCCATTAGAACTAAAAGCCAAAGATTTGGATCTTGAAGATTATACCAGTGACATGGCAAGGAGGCCACCAACACTTGGAGAGCTAATTATGATGAGCAGAAGAAGAAGCTACAGAAGGAAAGCAGTTCAAATGAAAAAATGGGATCCACCAAAGGTAATAACTAATAACCAACACCCCACTTTACTTTTTTTCTTTTTTTGAAAATGTTCGATACAGCATTTCTTTCCTGTCCTACATGAAGATGCATGGCTATAAGATTTTACAACTCCAACTAGAATAAGGAACCTGGTAATCCATATGGCATTGCACACAAGTACATTTCAAACCAACTTTTACTCTCTTGTCTCAATGAATCAATCATGCAGAAAACCACAAGAAAGAAAGCTTTTGGATGCTTCTCCATTGTAACAAACAGCAATATGATTAAGGGACTGCTGAACAAAAAGTACTCCCAAACATTGAAACTGCTCTAGGCAGGATGATATAGAAGGAAAGATCAAGGAGTCAAGAACCAAAACTGCTCGTGACCAAAAATTCCCATCTGCCTACTGATTTTAAATCAACCTCTTTTAATTTACTCAGTCCAGTCTCTTACAATTTATGGGTTTTCTTTGTTGTGATAGTGAAACTTGGATTGTATAAGAATTTACTTTGGCAATGTAAGATATCCTCTTTTCTAAAAGATAGCAGCACCACGACTCCACTACTCCGCATGTATACGTTCCTTCCTAAAATTTCCAAAACTGCTACCTCTGACTGCAACACTATGTAATAACCATCAAGTATTGGTGAACCAATGGATTTTCAATATTCCTTCGGCAATTAGAGAAATATTATATAGCAGTAAAGCAACTAGGAGACTAGAGAACCATCCTTGTTCTAGAAAGTGGAATTCTGGCAGTGATGATCGAGGAGGCACAAACCGAACATTTAGGTTACTAATCCAAATGTTAGCTCACTTAGCTGTAAATAGGAAAACGTACGCTTTACTTTAGCAATTAGTTTTAAGCTTACACCGAACATTTGTTTATTCATTCGTACACAGCTTTCTCACATGGAGGGCATAAAGTACGAGCATATCACTAATGGCGTAATCAGAGTCGAACCTTAAAGTAAAACGAGCAATATTTATACCCAAACCATTCGAGAGATTCTAGTACCTAGGAGCAAATGTTTGTACAATATGCAATAGAACTTCCTTGAGCTCTAATATATTAAAAACGTTTTAGGCAATCCATATGGCCCATCCTATATAGTCTAAACAAATGAGATATGTAATCTCACAAAAAAAAAAGCTAGTTTTTTCTTTCACCCCCTCTCAACTTGTCTCTAACATGAATCATATAGATACATGAGTACGAATACTCAGAAGGTGTTCTTGGATATAACATCCCCAAAGTGAACAAACCACTGAGCATTGGATGAATTATTGTCCTGCTGAGGTGGTAGCCCTTCCATTTTGGATTGTTGCTGTCCCTTCTCAATCACAAAATGCCCATAATCAAACGTCTTCGCAGGAGCAGCAAGGATTTTTTTACTGGGTGGTGCAGGAAGGAGTGATATCAGTACCCTGGCAACTTCATGCATGGTAGGCCTCTCAGAAGGGTTCCTTTTTGTGCATAGCAGAGCAAGCTGAAAGGTCTTCTTAACATGGGTCATATCAATGCAGGTAATGGAGACCTCTGGATCCACAGCCTCCATTACAGTGTTGTTATCTGCCTTGGACAATATCTGAAAATACATTTTAAACAGGGTCAAAAAATTAAACAGCAAGGGACCTATGACATCAAAAACTCACAAGAATGGCACTGTTCATACTATAAATTCAAGCATACCAATGATGCCATAATGAACCCAGACAATGGACTAAACATGAATAAACCATATAAATTTAACACGACAGGTTGATGTATAGGATTAACCAAAAACTTGTGAATCCATACAATACACATACCAATTGATGCAAGTTAGATTCATTGTCCACTGCCTTCTTCCCAGTAAGTAGCTCTAGCAGAACAATGCCAAAGCTATATATATCTGATTTTTCATTCAGCCTAGATGTTCGGGCATACTCAGGGTCAATGTAACCTATAGTTCCAAGAACATAGGTTGATGTGTGAGTTCTTGTGGTTGAGATGCATTTTGCCGTGCCAAAATCAGAGAGGTGAGCCTCAAAGTTCTCATCCAGCAGAATATTTGAAGACTTTATGTCCCTGTGAACTATTCGAGGGTTGCAATCATGATGGAGATAAGCAAGTCCTTCAGCAGCACCAACAGCAATCCTCAAGCGTGTTTCCCAATCAAGTTTTACCTTCAAGGGACCTGTGTCACGCAGGATAGTCAAGGCACAAAAACTGAAACCGCATTGCTACATTGCAAAAGATTAAAAAAACATGCATCTTATCCTTTTGAAGATAATTAAAATCCACAGATCCACAAATAAATGAACACATTTGTTACAAATAATTTGAAAATCTGGCATAAAAATTAGCAGAAATTTCTACAGTAAAGCAAATTTACCATGAAGAAGATCCCACAGAGAGCCATTTGCCATGTAGTCATAGAAAAGGAGATTCCCATGGGGAGTAAGGGCATAACCATGCAAGGTGACAAGGTTTCTATGTCTAATACTCCCAATAGTTTCAAGTTCCGTCTCAAACTCCCCTAAATTGTGTGGATGCTGGTTGTACAATCGCTTAATTGCAATTGGTCGGGAATTCTTCAAAACACACTTGTATACAGTACTAGAGGCACCATACCCTATGATATATTTCTCATTGAGATTCTCAGTATTTCTCATGATATCATCCAAGGTGTGGATAGCCAAATCCATATGAAGAATTACAAGTTTAGGGGGACCTGAAAAGAAAAAACCACAACATAACAAAAATGAAATAAGAACTCAAGCAAACTTTAAATTATCATCACGAGTAGATCTACCATTCAACATGCCTTGCCCATTTATGCTGGATCCTTTCATTAATTGCTTCGATTGGCTGGATCTATATATAGCAACAATTACCACGGCCAATAACATGATGCTACCAAGTGTGAGACATACAACAGCAAGTCTTGAAAAAATTTCTGAAGAAAAAAAGATATCCATAATATGCCTCACTATAATTAAAAAAACTCAGGTGTATAAAGGCATTTAAAAAGGTTGCCACACACCTCTAGTTTTGGGTACGTAAGGACGACATATTGATCCTAACCAATTTCCACATAAAAAAGGATTTCCAATGAAGCTGCAATATGTAATATCACAAATCATCAATACATTAAAATTAAAAAACAAAAAATTACTAGGTTTCTCAGCAATACCTGTCAGCGGAAAAGCGAGAGAAGTTCTTCACAGAAGGAATGACTCCAGAAAAGTTATTATATGAAAAATTCCTAAAATATGAAACCAAAATAGCACACTCATATATGGGAAACTTCAGAAACAGTTCTGAAAAATATATATATATAAAAGATGGAAAACCAACAGGCTGTCAGCTATACTCACAGAGAGGAAAGACTGAAACAATTAGTCAGTTGATCAGGAATCTTCCCACGCAGGTTGTTGTTGTTCAAAATCCTATGATACAGTTCCGATCAAGACAATTAATGAACAAGTTATACAGCAACAGATCAAATGCAGAACAAGAAGCAGAAAGTACTTCAGAATTAAACATACAGGGAAACAAGGTTCTGCAGCTGACCAGTTTCCGAAGGAATGCTACCGGACAGATTGTTGAACGACATATCACTAGAGGCAGAATAAATCATTATCCACCAATAAAACCACATGGATAGGCAGATTTAGAGGACATTGAATTTAAACACTCATAAAAGGCCTAGAAAGCTTACATAGTCTGTATGCTTCGGAGATTCCCAAATTCAGCAGGCATGGGACCACCAAGGTAGTTATGACTCAAGTTCCTGCATTAATGACGTATAAATATTAATCAGAACTACAGCAATCGCCCAGGAAAATTAAGATTAAATGAATTAGAAAATTTCCATCTTACAGGGTCAAAAGATGCTCTAGATAACCAACAGAAGCTGGGATATGCCCAGAAAAACTATTGCTAGATAAATCCCTGTAAAAATTTATAAAATAAAAAAATTATTCAGCATACAGCGAAATTAATTAAGTTAGATATATGTTTGCATGAAACTCACAGCGTATCAAGATTTATGCTATGGCCCAACTCAACCGGTATATTGCCCTTGAAGTTGTTTGCAGAGAGATTTCTGGAGTCCAAAATATTTTATTCTTATATCACTAAAAAGGGAATAATTCTACTACAAATGTAATGAAACAAGTCTAAATACAGTTTCCCATAACATACAAGTATGTCAAACTCTGAAGGTTGCGGAAGCTCAATGGAATGGATCCGTTTAACTGATTTCCATACACATTACTGCAACAAATAAATAAATGAACGAACACTTTTCCATGATAAGTTATTGAAAACAGCAAAATATTTTAAACAGATTACATAACAGCCGACCAGTGTTCAGAAATCTTACAGCTGATTTAAGGCAGTGCAGGAGCTTATGTTATGTGGAATAGATCCTTCAAGATGATTATTCGCAAGATTCCTAAACAGTAGAAAAATAAGAAACTTAACACCACAAATAGTCTAAAACTGACATCTGTCATCAACAGTTTGATTGAATAATTAAAACTCACAATTCAAACAGATGTTCAAGCTTCCCAATTTCATTAGGAATTTCACCCACTAGTTGATTGTCATTCAATTGCCTGGAAGCAAAATATACTATAAATAAATACATAAAACAGAAGAATATCCTGATACAATATTAGAGATCAACTCACAGGTAGCTCAATTTTGACATATTGCCAAGTTCTGGAGGTATTGGACCAGTAAGCTTGTTTCCATGAAGGTATCTAAACAATTGAAGAGATCAGAGAAAAAAAGAAAAAAAAAGACTAATAGGATTTTTTAATCAATGTGAAACCACTCACAGCTTGCCAGTAAAAGACAGATTGCCCAAAATAGGAGGGATTGGCCCCACTAACTCGTTCTCACTCAAATCCCTGCAACAATGCGAAGATACAATTACTCACATCTTGGTAACCAACATATGTATATTACAAAGCATTCTCAACCCAAAAATGTGGAAGTATAATTTTTACATCAACTACATTATCAATACACTTACAAAATTGCAAGGGCTTGCATTAAACCAATCACTTCTGGAATCTTCCCAGTTAGCCTATTTCCTTGAAGTGACCTGCGCAGAAAATACCATGATAATTACCGTTATAATTCGACATTCAATATAACAGGATTGATTATCATTCATCAAATATAAGAAACCTCTTTGTCAAGAAGAGGTAAAAGGTACAAAGGAAATGATTTTCAGCCAAAGTACTCACAAAGTAGCCACTTGAAGAAATCCAATATTATAGGGAATCTCCCCAGTAATTTGATTATATGATATGTCCCTGAAACTCAAAGAAAAGATAGAGTGACAATAATGACAAAAATATTGAAAAGTACGTATTGATCATACCAAATATTAAACATACAAGATTTGAAAACTTGTACAGTTCCCAATGCTGTCAGGTATAGTACCAGTCAAATTATTGCCTCTCACATCACTGAGAATTCATGTAAAAACAAAATAACAAAGGTCAAAACATAACGAAGACAATCCGTACCAACATTATAATTTATAGAAACCACGCTGTGCCTGTGTCGGAATACTTACAAATACCACAAACCAGTTAATTGACATAAATCAGGAGACAAAGTTCCAGTCAACATGTTCCCTCGCAACCCTCTGCATGTTTGTGCAATCAAAATAAAACCTTTAAGAGAGTAACAAAAATATTAAATATACAGGTGTAACTGCAAATTATACAAAGAAAATATAAAACCAACAGGTACTGCAAGACTTCATTCCAATAGAGGAGTCTTGGTATCTCTCCAATGAGCCTATTTCGAGCAAGATCACTGTAAACATGACAGTATAATAATTAAAATCATTACCGAGCATCCCAAGCAACTGAGTATCACACACAAGGTTAAAAGCCCTGCGAAACTCAAATTATGACCACATGTAAACTTACAGAGTCTTCAGGTTTGGAATTTGTGTTAAAGTTGAAGGGATAGGACCAGTCAACTGATTACTCTTCAAATTCCTGCATTCACCAATTCATCTCAGGACTCACATTTCAGGCAAACAGCACTACATATTGAATGGCATATCCTGGTTTTTAAACTTACAAAAACTCAAGTTGCTTTAGCTTTGAGATGGAGAAAGGTATATCACCATAGAGCTGATTATCAGACAAATCCCTTCAATTCCATGAAAAAGTAATATGATAAGCATTTGAGTTATCTCAAAGGGAAAACTCCAGCAAAGTAAAACAAGAGCAACATGTAAAATACAGAATAAATGAAACAAGACCAGAGTCCTACAGATGAATAAGTGCAGCACAGTTCCCAATTTCATCTGGGATTTGACCGGTTAGTTTATTCCCTTGCAGGTCTCTGTCATTGCCAAAAATGCAGAGTTCAGATACAATTCAAAGCAAAGTTTACATAGAAAGCAACGAGTGCAATTGAGATTGGAAAAACAAGAGTAAAAAGGTTGAACCACATCAACCAAAATATACATACATGGATTGCAAGTTTCCTAAATCACCAATGGCTGGTGATATCTCCCCACCCAGGTTCAAACTCGACAGATTCCTTCATAAACATGACAGAGAAAATGAACTTAAGCAGTTGACAGAAAAATGTAGCTAATTAGAGAGATTAAGAGAACTAAAGAAAATAGTCCCCAGAGATAGAAAACGCACAAAGATACCACAGTAAGGCTAACATTATCACAGAAAACTCCACGCCAAGAGCAGAAATCATCATTGTGCACGTCATCCCAATCAAGCAGAACGTCTGCTATATTGCTGAAGGAAGCCTTGATTGTCATCAATGTTTGTCCTACGCATTTTCAACGTAATTTCAAAAGTCAAGCACTTCGAAACATCAATGGCGTATGAATCTATCTATAGCCTATGATGTTCAACCATCACTACTAGTATTTCATTTGTGCACGCCACATCAAGCTACAATACAAAAAAATCATACAAGCAGTGTAGTTTTAAACAAGTAGTTAAGGTTAAAAATAAAAAAAAATGCAAAGAGGTTAAAAATTATAATAAGTAATATAATAAGTAATAAAACACATACAAATGCAGAAAAACTAACCGATATAAAATATAAATATAAATAATCGCAGTACACAGAACCTGAATAACAACAATCAAATCCTACACACTCAAATCGATATATACTGTTCATAAACCCTAGAATATTGTCTAAATCACACACTACTTAAAATAATTGTATAAATAATATCCTACTCTCATTTAAAAATAACCATGCTCGCCGGTAAATTTGTCGACTAAAGATGAGCATCGTATCGCGGTTCCGAGTCTTTGCTTAGGCCTTATATGAGCATGGAGTAGGAGCCGGCAAATCATCAAAGAGAGAGAGAGAAAAAAAATATGTTTTTCGTTACACAATAGGTTCAATAATAAAATCTCAAAGCACATGTTACCTTTCTACGAATAGAAAAGGCACTATTGATACCACACCCCAAAAAATTATCCAGAAATGTTTCACCAAAACCAACAACAAAGGGATCTTGGAAAACCAACGAAAGACATCTAACTTTGTCGATGGAAGACAATAATAAATAAATAAAAAGTAACACATTTTCACTGTAATACGAGTTTAAAAACATACCGAACCTCAAGAGTTCACCATTATTCTAACGGTCTTGGAAAACCAACGAAAACAAGTTTACATTTTGAGTACTTCTACAAAACAAAAACAAGAGTAAAAACTAGAACCACGAACAAGAGAGAAGAATGGTACTAAGAAGCAAACAACCCCACCCCACATCAAAACAAGGCAAGACAAAATTTTGATGAGCGGAGAGAAAGAAGAAAAACGTAAAGAACTAAAGGGGTGAGTCAAAAATGGCAATGCGTGAACACACACAAACCTTCTTCACTGAGTGACAAGGAAAATGGTGAGAGAAGGAACATCACGAGAAGCACCATTGCCACAGGAGACAGCAGAAACCTCCTCCACCTGCGGTTGCCGGCATAGAATAGCAGCACAAACCTATCATCAACCATTGCTAGCCTCCACCCAGTAACGGAAGAAGAACCAACAACACCAGGTACGAGAAATGCAGTGACTACAGAGGTTGTTGCTTGGTAGAGAGAGAGGGAGTAAGAGAGAGAAAGTGCAGGCGTTTGGCGTGAACTGTAAGGTAAGCACAGAAGGCAGTAAGTTATGAAGAGAGAGTGAGTGAGGGAGCGAGAGAGTAAGAAAGAGAATGGGAAACGGCGGTGAAGCGACGTTAGCTGACTGTCACTGTTTATAACAGTGGTACCCGCCGTCATTCGTACTCGCCGTCTGCTTCTTATATTTGACAGCTATAGCTTTGGTAGCTTTCCACGCTCCTCCCCTCGCGTGCGCAACAATCCCTTTGTCTCCTTTGTCTCCGTCATTAAGAACGGCAATCCCCGGTTTTGAACCAACACGGTCTGATTACGCGCTTGACTAACGGTGGAGATCTCCGCTCGTACAATCATGTAGCATGGAGCGCGTGAACGTGGTGCATAGTGGATAAGGCAATACCAAGAACGTAGAAGGAGAGAAAAAATATGACCAACAATAAATAACAAAATTTAAGTTCGTTTAGACTTTAGAGTAAGTTAATAAAAATATATTTATGTTTAGATTCAGTTTTTCTATTGAATCTTTGTAAGGTACAAAGGAAGACGTACGAAGAAAGGTTTTACTAATAAAGCGGTAGTTAAAGAATTCTTTCTTTTGTAAGAAAACATTAAGTATGTACCAAAATTTTGATCGAGCAAAATCTGTTAACCGATCATGTATAAATTATTGAATAAATTTAAATTATGATATATATTTATTTTTTATTTTAAAGATACGTGTACATTAAGAACCTTTTTCAAAATTAATATCGCTTTATTTGAGTAAATAAATATATTTAAGATAAGTACCTCTGAAATTGTAGCCACATGTTCTCACTTATAAAAAACAAAAACAAAAACCACTCCAGTTAAAGAATGAAGCGGAAATGTTGTGTGATTATTGTGGTCATGCTACAATTGTGTTAAAATGTGGTTACTTACTCCTTCCATGTAACAAGGTCAGAGGGGTGTGGTAAGAACTTCCTGTCCATCATAGCTAACATGGCAACTAGGGCCCACTTTTCTATACAAAACTTTGCCAATTCCAAAATATTTAAATAAAGTGAAATGAAGAACATAAATTTATTCTTGTTAAACTTTTTTCTCAGAGAATAAAGAGGTGCGAATAGGACAGAAAAATATGATAAAATAATTTAAAAGATCTTAAGTAAGTTTATTATTAAAGCAAATAAGAAATGATATATTTTGATTTTGATTTTCTTTTTGTTATTATATTGTAAAGAACCTTTGAGTTCACCACCCCAAAAGCTAGCTCAAGGGGTGGGAGTGCCTAAGGCCTTATAAAGACCATATTAGTTGCCCATCCAATCAATGTGGGACTATATATCTCAACACGCCCCCTCACGCAAGAGCCCTTTAGGCTAGAAGCGTGGAAATTGCACAGGCCCATTTTTGGTTTACCTTTTTGTGCTTTTTTTTTTAATTTTAATTCCACTTTTTAAAGTGGGGGACGGTGAGGCTCTGATACCATGTTATGAACCTTGAGGTCACCACCCCAAAAGCTAGCTCGAGGGGTGAGAGTGTCCAAGGCCTTATAAAGGTTATATTAGTTGCTCATCCAATCAATGTGGGACTTATATATCTCAACACGCCCCCTCACGCAAAAGTCCTTTAGGCTAGAAGTGTGGAAATTGCACAGGCCCATTTTTGGTTTACCTTTTTGTGCTCACCCCTTGAGCTAACTTTTGGGGTGGTGTATCCCAAGGTTCTTTACATGGTATCAGAGCCTCGGTGTACCGGGTTCGATCCTCACCACCCCCCATTTTCTTTCTAGTGCAATTTCTTTCTTCGCACAGATAAGTGGGCATGTGCATCGCCCACTCTTCAAGCTCAGTGGGCTCTTATGTGAGGAGGCGTGTTGAGATATATAAAACCATTAATGTAACCTCACCCAGCAGCTTAACCTCACTCTTCACGAAATGTTACCTTTTATGAAATGGAATTTCCCTTCAAGGAGCAGCCAACTGCATCTCCCAATACTACACCTACTGATAACAACATGACTACTGTTACTTATCCCTCCAATGACCTTTTTGACCTGTTGATTCCATCTTATCCATCAGCAAACACTCAACCACCTGCATTACCCATCAGTAACTCTCCCCAACCAGATAACCAAATCACGCGACGTTCAACCAGGCCACGCCAACAACCTCATTACCTTCAAGACTTCTACTGCAACTACTTAAACACTCAACAACCTTCACTTTCCTCATCCACTCCCCACTCCCTTTCCTCTGTATTATCATTTACCAAATGTTCTAACCCTTACACCTCGTACTGTCTCAATATCAGTACTGATGTGGAACCTTCATCATATGCAGAAGCTGCAAAGCATTCTTGTTGGCAAAAAGCTATGTCAGCAGAGCTTGAGGCACTTGCTAATAACAATACCTGGTCAGTAGTCGATCTTCCTTCACATAAACGACCCATTGGCTGTAAATGGGTTTTCAAGATCAAGCGTAAAGCAGATGGTTCCATAGAACGCCATAAAGCACGATTGGTTGCTAAAGGGTTCACACAGCTAGAGGGAGTCGATTTCTTTGACACATTTTCCCCTGTAGCTAAGATGACCACCATTCGCGTTCTTCTTTCAGTCGCTGTTGCTAAGGGCTGGTTTCTAGAACAGCTCGACGTCAATAACGCGTTTTTACATGGAGAATTGAACGAGGAGGTTTATATGTCTCTCCCTCTTGGACTCCTAGATTCTGCTCGTCCCTCACAAGTTTGCAAGTTACACAAATCGCTGTATGGTTTACGTCAAGCAAGCCGCCAATGGTATGCTAAGTTAACCTCAGCTTTATTGTCTTTTGGCTACACTCAAGCCTCTTCTGATCACTCTCTGTTTGTTAAGTCTAACGGTACTCAGTTTACTGCGTTGCTTGTTTATGTTGATGACATTGTCCTTGCTGGCAATGATTTTCCTGAAATCCAACTTGTGAAAACTCACTTAGATGATCAGTTCAAAATAAAAGACCTAGGAACTTTACGGTTTTTTCTTGGTTTCGAAATCTGTCGATCTTCCAAAGGGCTTATCATGAATCAGCGCAAGTATGCTGTTGAGATTATTGATGATGCTGGCCTACTTGGTGCTAAGCCTGTCTCCACGCCCATGGATTCTTCTTGCAAACTTCATAAAGAACAAGGCTCTCCTCTCTCTGATCCTTTGAGCTATAGACGATTGGTTGGTCGTCTCCTTTATCTCACTAATACTCGCCCTGATATAGGATATGCAGTTCAGCAATTGAGCCAGTTCCTTTCCAAACCTTTGGATGCTCATATGCAAGCTGCTCTTCGGGTGGTTCGTTACTTGAAGAATTCCCCAAGAACGGGCTTGTTCTTTGCTGCTGATAATGATTTGGTGCCCACTGGCTTCTCTGATGCAGACTGGGCAGCATGTGTTGACACAAGACGTTCAATCACAGGATACTGTGTTTTCTTGGGTTCCTCTCTAGTCTCCTGGAAATCCAAGAAACAAACTACCATCTATAGGTCCTCTTGTGAAGCGGAGTATCGGGCCTTAGCTGCAGTTACTTGTGAAATGCAGTGGCTTCATTATTTGCTGCGTGATTTATGTTTGTCCCCATCAGTTGCTTCATGTATCTATTGTGATAACCAGTCTGCCATCCACATTGCCCACAATCCCACATTTCATGAACGTACAAAGCATATAGAGATTGATTGTCACTTGGTACGCGAAAAGGTTCAAAGTGGTTTGATCCGTTTACTTCATATTTCTTCTGCTGCACAGCTTGCCGATCCTCTCACCAAACCTTTGAAGCCTGCCATTTTTCGGTCCCTTGTTGGCAAGTTGGGCCTCGTTGACATCCACCTCCCAACTTGAGGTGTTACCGTTAATTATTTTAATTTACTTATTTACTCACAATGTAATCTATTAACTGACTCCTATTAGTTACGATTCTGTTTTCAGTTAGTTAGCTTAGAGTTAGTTTAGATTCTCTTCTATTAGTGGAGTTGTTAGATAACTTTAGATAGCTTTGCTTACGTCATCTTGTATTCATGCTTATATAAATATTAGCAAGCTTCAATATCAATACAGTTTTTCATATTCTATTCACTTTATGGATTCAAGTTGTATATCTTGTTGGTAAGGAAGGACTCAAAAAAGGCTCCACTTTTAAATTAATATTTAAGGATGTTTTATTAGGGAGTTCAAAAAAATGTTTTATGAAAATATTAAATTCCTTATTAACTATGTAAAGGTAAATGTTTTAATTGAGTTAAATTAAAATCAGCATACATTTGGAAATAATTATATATTTATTTCTTGATTTATAGATAGGTATATTTCTAAAGTAAAAATTTCGAAAATAATATCATTTTATTCAAATAAAAATATATTTAAAACCACTTTTGAATGGTTCCGTCCATATTTGCTGGCTTTTATTTGGCCTTTGACATTATTTGAGGACTTTATTTTAGTATAAAAAATAAATAAGAAAAAGAAGAGGAACAGTTTTTGAAAAGTTTGTCGTTATATCAATAACCGATGCATTGGGAGTCGTTATGCATGTGTCTTTAAATTTTATCCACAAGTTTCCATCCATTATTTAATATTAATATATTATAACTTTATTATAAAAGAAATTTACAAAAAGTTGATATTAGAAATGACATGTGATTCTCGTGTTGATGCTTCATGCTAAAATTGCGATAAACTATGGTTACTTACTACTTCCATTAAACCTGCCGAGACGATGGTGAGAACTTCATGTGCATCAAAACCAACTTGGCAACTAGGACCCACTTATCCATCTAAATATTTGTCAATCCCGAAATATTTAATAAAATGAGGAGTATAAGTTGATTGTGTTAAATAAACTATAGTAACTTCATTCATCAGATGTTCAATAAAAATTTCTAAGATCAAGGTTTATTCTGAAAAAGAAAAAAAAAAAAAAAAAACTAGAGTCACTCAATGGCGACGGGAAAATAAATTGAATTGAAAACATTAATATAAATTAAATCACGTTGTTACACATTTCCAATTTTAATTAATCAATCTATCCGGTGTTTCCCTGTAACTGTTTTGTTTTTCTCAAAAACACTTAAGATTCTATAAATTGCTTTCAAGGAGTGCATGCATATATATTCTCATTGCTTTTATCAGTAAAATAAGCAATACTATGATCAGCTAATTT